ATGTCAACGCGCTTGCATAACAAGTACATGTCAACGCGCTTCCCTGACGAAGGCCGTGCCACGGCTGAAACGTTGGCATAAAAGTATTGCTCTTTCGTACGTGTACTCGCTTGTGTTCTTTATACGTACCAGACCCCTTGAACTTCCTGCTGAATATATATATATATATATATATATATATATATATATATATATATATATATATATATATATATATATATATATATTGACCATATCATCGCAGTAATATTGCGTGTTGTCCTTACGATTTTATGTCTTAAAGCTTGGTCACCCATTACAAAAGTCACAGACATTACGGCGTATGTTCCACTAAGACCATGTAGTGGGTGCATGAAGGGTTCGACAGCATTTGATTGTGTGGTAGACAACCTGCTTGTGATGCTAACGCCTTGGGTTCAAACCTCGATCTGAACCAAAACTTATCATCTATTTTATTGGCATCTACCTATATTTTAGTCACGCAGAAGGTGATCAATTTTCCCTCATAACCAATGACGCCGATGCCTGAATTTCTGCCAAACGACCTCTTTAAGGCTGTAGCGTTAAGAAAATTAGCCCTAAATTAGTACGAGCGGTGATTTCTCTGTAGTTTTCACTGCAGTGGGACGTCCTGCCTTTTCCCATATAAAACTGTTCTCAGGTTGTCTATTGAGAAAATTATTAACAAGTATAAATCCTTAGCAACCTATCCAAGGAAGACGTTATCACTTGCATCTTGAAGGCAATGCATCGGTATAGAACCGATATTAAACACAGTCAGGCCATTCGTGTTTGTCGGAGACTACAACGCGGACATCATGGCAGTTGACGACTGCTGGCTAGTCTCGCACACGACATCTCGTTACAATCTCTGGCTGCAGCTCGTACAAGCGCCCAACCGCCATCAGAGGGACCTGTATAGACATTGCTTTCTCCAGTTTTAACCCCAACCTCTCATCCCAGATCCTCTCGCCACGTACTTCACCAACCACAAGATTGTAATCTTCTAAGGAGAACGTGAACCCACAGCTTTGTAATCAGTGACGTAATCCTTGTATAAAAGTTCATCGATATTTAAATGATTATGTCTTGTATGTATATAAATGCATAGATATGTCAACAATAATCATCGTGTGTACAGAATCACCCCTATAACAACGTGTCCAATCTTTATGTGATGTGTGGGCGAATATTTCACGGTTTTACAGATAAGCACTGCAGCTTGTCCCACATATGATCATTCACTTCTTGGAGGTGGCGGGATTATTTATGGCATTTATTTCCATAAGCCATATATCGCAACACCTGAACACTGTAACTTCGTAGGTCTGATTACTATATATTCATTGCGTATGCATATAGCTTATGCAACATGGAGTTCCGGCAAGAAAGCGAAAATAACATTGGAACATTTCAGCCAACAAGTCTTCAGGAACATTAAACGTTCAACTAATTACCCTTTGAAGTTGCAGGCCGAAATTCATTATTAGAGTAAATGCTTACGAGTACATGTTTATTTAATTGTAGATCTTTCTTTTTTAAGTTCACACAAAAACGAACGCTGTGCTATCCACATTTGATGTTGACATCAGCATGGATGGCGGGCCGCGTCAACAGTGCGCTTAGGGCCCTTACACGCGCTAACCGCCCACCTGCTCCGTACACCCGCACCACACAAATGGGCGAGAGCGGCCGTCTCTGTGACGTCAGGCAGAGTGGCTCTCAATTTTTGCAAGCCGCATGCCGACTCGCATGGCTCTTCCTCATTGGCTACTGCGAAAAACGGCCTGGACGGCCGCCCCGCCGGCTCGCTTGGCAAACATGGCGCTTGCTGAAGCGGGCGCTCCAGCGACACGGAAAAAGAATAGCTGTTTTTATCGTTGTAACCATCGTAAGCGCTATGAGACTCCCGGGAAGATATATGTCGCCAGCCAGTTTTCACTGCCCCTTCAGCACGTGTGATCGACAGCGGAAACGAAGAAACGAGCACAGTGTAGAAAGGTTGTTTGTGGATGTGAATGTTGTCGTTTCATGTGTTTCCTGCGTTGTACCGTCCATCTTTCAAGTGTAATCGCAAAGAACTTTGAAGATTTCCGTGAAGTAGTCATCCACCTTTCTAAAGCAGGGTATGCGTTCAGTGTGCGCCGAAGTGAAAATTTGTAATCATCGCAACAAGTGTTAGCGTCGAGTGTGTTCTGTGTGTTCCGTTTGTCGCAGCAAGTGGTATGCATAAATTTTGAACGCTTGCGAGGGTTAGCTTCTGCTACGATAAGGATGGGCAAGTTTTATTGCCCCTCATTGTTGTCATTCATTATGTGCAACGCCGTACGAGTGCTGTTATGTGTAGCGCTGTGTTGAAGTTCTGTGGACCATGTCACATTTGAGCGATTCTATTGGCACATTGCGGAAAAGCGAGCGCCACCTGCCGTCTAAACAGGGAAGCAGCGCTCGCGCTTTTGGTTGGAAAGGCATTCGTTAACTAACATGTGCTAGGCAGCGTTCGGCGGCTCGCGTGCGCTTGTTTTATTGATTTAGTGTTGTTTCTTTGCCGGAAACCTGCGCTGCTTACGGAAACAACATGATAGAAGAAGAAAACATCCCGTTTGCGTTTGTGGAAACGGGATGGAGCGAGGATTTTTCGCATTGCAGCCTGAGCAACGACGAAGTGTGGCGGTACCTACACTCCACTACTTCGACCGTTCGCCAGGCTCATCGCGGCTGGTCCGTCAAGGAAGAAGGATACGTCAAACACTTGAAGTTGAACCTCCAAACATCTGATGACGAACTAGGTCTGGTGAGAGCGGCGTGCGCACCGTCCATGAAGTCCGGCGTGTATGTAACAACGGCATGGTTCGCCGTGGCTACCGGTCGCATCGTTGGAGCGCACTGCGACTGTGTTGCTGGGTGAGATATTTTGATTTTACTAGCGTCTGTAGTGCAAATCACCGATTGCCGAAAATGTGTGTAAACAAATGTTGCGCCTATGCGCTTGCGAGTGTAATGGGAGCATGCAGTTCCCTTATCGGAACATTACGTTCTCTTCATAGGACAGGAGTTTACCCCAGTGCTTATACCTGCTGCAGCTCCCACTTTTGTGATTATAAACGACCCGTGCTACTATATCAATCATGGTTTGCGCTTATACATCGAAGCGCAGCCTCGCGCACTAATGGCAGCTTTTTTTGCGAACCGTTACAATGTACGGATATACGCGAGACTGTGTGCTGCCGTGGTACACATTGTTGCATTCACAAGATCACGTCTATCGAGTACTTTACCTCATTGCGGTGCTACCTAAAAAGCTCGATGTTGCAAGACGCGGGCTTAGCGTCTGTAAATACATGTTCGAGGTTGTCCGTTGATTTCGTGAACAACAGTTTTTTTTTTTTTTCAGACTTAGTGAAACCTGCCAACATGTAGCAGGCCTGCTGTTTAGTGCTGCCGCCAGAGCTGAACATGCACCGTCCTGCACGGACGTACCCTGCAAGTGGATAGTCCCTGCTGAAGGTATTACTCCACCAATGCATGTCCTTAACGATCCTGTGTTGCCCATCTTGCTACTAAGAACTTCGTGTTTCAGCTAAGTATATACCTACAAAGTACCCTGTGCAAGCATATTATGATCGCGATATAGTTTAATGGCACAAAAGCAGCTCAGCCATACAGTGCCGAGCACAAAGCATATTGCATGACACAGTGCAGGTGAAATACGAGTTCGAAGGGTAGTAGGTTTTAGCATGTTAGTTAATCATGGTTTGCATAGAATACATAGCGCAGTGTAAACGCAGGACAGCGCTTGTCCTGGTACTACCCGTCCCGTGTATTTCATACTACAATGGAGACCGCTTTCAGAAACCTTTTAACAGCCGGGAATCCAAGCATAATAAATGGTTGGAGACGCAACTTGCACTCCAGGATTCGTGTAAGCAGTGGATGTTCAAACCAGTAAATTACCGCTATTGTGAACATGACGTTGCGTTCACATACCATTATGTGTCATTCACAAAATATACACAGAGAAACAGGCTCACAGCGTTGCATTTTCATGACTGCTTGCTCAGTCATGCCAGTTCATTATTAACAGTGTTACATCATTTACACACCACAAAGCACAGTACACGAACAAACACACTTCCTCATGTGGTGAACAGCCATGCTTGTGCACGTGCATATGCTCCCTTTCTCAACACAAATGTACTTATCACTCACATGTGTGCTCTCTTTAGCAGCATAACTGAAGTACCCTATTTTCTGTTTACTTGCAGCAAAGAAACCAGTGGCAAGAAAGCCTCTGGGTGAAATCAGATTCCAAAAGTATTTCATAAACAAGCCTACATGTGGGAAACGGAAGCGCGATTATGACCCCTGTGCTGATGGCCCACTTCCTAGTCCACATGCCATTCAGTCACTGAGGGATAAGCTGGCAACCACCTGTCCCGATCTGCATGCTCTGCGATACATGTGCCACTTCAATCTTCTTAGAAGCACAGGCTTGACAGCGGCAATCTGGCCAGATGTGCTCCTTTATACCTGCAAGTGGCACAGAAAAAGCGCTCGTCAAGCACCTTAGAGCGCCCTCTGCAAGTCAGTGTTACACATATGGACATACGGACTAGAAACAAGCTCTACAATAAGCCTATAGCTGAGGAGTTTTTATCTGCAAATGCAAAAAGCAGTTGCAGCATTGGCATCATGGTACGGGAAAAAGCCGAAAGGAGTATTGCACTCTGCAAAGTGCATACAAACTCACCATTTTCAGGTTGCTGCAGCTCCATCGAGTCCTGATCAGGTACATCATCCTTTGTAGCATCCAAGCCTTCGTCAGGATTCTCTGCAAGCAATGCAACAGCATGACATCTAATTGCTTTGTATGAGTGTGTTACTGCAGAAATGGGCCACATGCAACAAGCAGCGGCAGGATTCACATCGTGGTATGGGGAAATGCTGAAAAAACATTCAATTCTGCAAAGTGCACACAAACTTACCATTTTCCAGTTGTTGCAGGTCCACTGAATTCTCATCTAGTACACCATCCTGTGCAGCACTAGTGTCCATGTTGAGATTCTCTGAAAGCAACACATCAGCTGACCATTATCCCCTATATGAATGTGTCTGCAGAATCAAGCCAGCTGAAATCTGAGCAATCACATGATGCCACGGGAAGAAACTCAAAACAGCACTTAAGTTTGCAAAGTGCAAGCAAGCTCACCATTGGGAGGATCCTGCAACTCTGGCGTGTCATTAGGAGTAGCAGAAGTGGCTGTCGTATCAAGCTCCCCTGAAAGAATGGTATCGTGGTTATGCACAGGTCATTTGCTGACAATAACCACCTAGGGTGAGATGTGCATAACAGCCACATATTGGGTGTCTAAGAAATAGTGACAATCAGTGACATGGCTGAGCGGAAGAGTTGTTTGAGGGGTTCAAACCCCCGAAAATTTTCAGCTTTGCATGTGTATATATTACACGCACACATACCAACGCACACACGAGCATAAAGTACGGTTGAATCCCACCACCGAAATATATCTGGCTACCCTACTGGTGACAAAGGCATTGCATGCGGCATTCACAATACGACTTCACAACCTAAAAACACGCTGTAAATGCGGGAAGCAGCGGCAAAAATGATCGAGTGGGCAATAAATCTATACAAGTGCTGTCACGGTGCCGCAGGCACGAGAAACCTCGCAAGCACTGCCTGTCACACTACACTATCCACTGCAAATCGCCTCGAAAGTGGTTGGTTTCTCGTCTGGCCTCGCCCATGATGAAAGCAGTCACAAAATACCAGACGGGAGCGATGCAGTACAGCCGTCCAGACGATAGCCTAGAGTGCTCGAACGGCTCACTAGAGTGGTACCGGGCTCGAAACAAGTATTTATTATACATTCACATTTCCACTGACTGTGCTTTAGACCGTACATCTTTAAAAGCTGGAGTGAGTCCGGAAAGCAAGAGCGACCTTCGTAAATGCACGACAGAACTGAACGTTCACGCGCTCAGACAGATGTGTGGTTGCCTTCACGAACATCTGCTCCTCTATTCTGCATTAGCAGTTTTTGTCCCAGTAAATATAAACTGAGATTGTAGCGCTTACCTTTCTGTCGCTTCCACCATCGGCTATGGCGACGCACGGCAGCATCGCCGCGACTTCTCACGTAGGTGAACACACTGGGGACGAAGTCAGGATGGTTCTTGAACTTTGACGGCCGTCCTGCAGTAAACGTGATTTCTGATTGCACAAACCAAGTTATAAGCACTCAAAATTACCGTACTTGTTATAAAATGCGCGCTGCAGATCCGAGAATGTTTGTTGGGCGCCCACGGCGAACCGTCGGCATTCTGTCTCCTCACAGCAGCTAGCCAAGCATCTCTCTTTTCGGCACGTAGCCTCGTGGACGGGAACCTGTAGAAATGCGTGCTTCTTTTCTGAGTAAAATAATTCGTGCAGCCGTAGGCCACACAGTGCGCTGGCATTTCTGTACGCTGCTAAAGCGAGGCGACTTAGTTCAGTGACGGCACAGAGATGCACGAGTGACGGCCGGCCCGGCTCGTGTTTTCCAACCAAAACCAAAGCGCCCATAGAGGGCGCCAGCTGCGCCGTTACCGCGCATGCGCAGAAGCTTTTCCGCAAATGGTCAATTCAGTGTTGTGAAGTGTGTTCACGAAATGGAAAGCGCGGAATATTTAGGAGTGTACAGCTCAGTTTCCGATTTGTGTAGTTGCGTGCACGTGCCCTAAAGAGGAGCTTGCATACGAGACAACTTTGTGCATGTAGCCTCGCCCCCCCCCCCTTCATTATTTAAGGTACGCGATATGATCGATTGTCTATGAATGCGTGAAATAAGTTATTGGAGACGAAGTTTAAAGCAAATGTAAGTGTTGCAAAAAATTGTCCGGTGTTCGACACTAGCTGCTCATACAGCATCAATAGTTTTGTCAAGATTGCAGGCAGTCATGCTAAATTACTTGAACACCACGACAACTGATATAACATGTGATGGTTATCTGCTTGCATCAAGCATTTGAAGAATAGTAAACAATTTTTTCAATATCTTGCTGAAATGCCCACGTCTGTCTTGTTAAACATGCATCTGTCATCATCAAGTGTGAAACAAAATATTTCAAGCACATGTCAGGTCAAGAAAGATTTTAAACAACAAAAATGCTTATTATCTTTAGCTCAGTGTTGGATGTCTGTTCCTTTTCAATAGTGCACAGAAACTGAAAAATGTACGCCTTGTCTCCAAAGAAGGATGGTGTCTCTCAATCAGCTAAAATATTTTATCAATGAATTACATGAATACAATGATAATTCATCATTCTTGTCGGTAGTAGATTTTTCTGCAATTGGTACAAAGTAGCCGAAGAATTTCGTCGGCAATCATGTACACTGATCACCTGTCATTTTCAGTTTTTGAGGCTTTTTAGGTAAATGAAATCAGAATAATCTTCCAAGCTGGCTATAATGAATAAATCCAGCTATATGTCCATGTTATTGCGATGTAGGTGCTGCAAACATTTCTGGAAAAAGCTGGAGCTATTGCACTCTGTGAAGGTGGGTGACCAGCCAAGCTGTGTTGCACAAGAATTTTGTTTGCTTAATTTTTATATTTATACATTTAATAAGACCTTTACAATTTTAGCATATGCTTTTTTTAAAGCAGTTCCACCTCAGTTTATGTGGCCGAGAAGTGCAACATGCAGGCTATGTATTTAGGTATACATTTTTTCTTTGCTAATTCGTTTTTTCATTCGCCGTTTTTCTGTGTAATTTTTATGCCCCAGTAGTGTGTGGTAATGTTTGCCCCATTTCTGTGGTGCATACCGACTAGGAGCTTTCTGCAGATTAGGTATGTGTTTGTGGAGTCACAGTACAGCCATACTTATTACTCTCATGGTTGCACTGACGTCAGTCAATTTGCCTAATGCGTCAGCTGACAATTGAACTCAGTCTGGACGCACACTGTCTCTTAATTCAAAATTTGAATCTAGAGACAGTTGACGACCATAATTTTCCGTTGAATATGTAAGCTCGTGTAGTTGTGTGGACCTAAACAGTATAACCTCACTGATACATTCTCGCCTAATACAATTTCCCAGCTGATTGATATGTGTGGTTTAACATCCAAAAACCACCATATAATTATGAGAGACGCCGTAGTGGAGGGATCTGGAAAATTTGACCACCTGCGGCTTTTAACGTGCCCGCCAATTGGAGCACACGGGCCTGCAGCATTTTCACCTCCACCGAAATCGCAGCCAGGATTTGATTCCCCGACCTGCGGGTCAGCAGCCGAGTACTTTAGCCCCTAAACTACTGCAACAGGGAAATGATTTTCTGGCTGCTACGCTCGCAATTGTGAAAATAAAATAAACCAATTTCAATCATAGGTATTTTCAAATCCTGCATTTATTGTGCGCATTGTTTTTCGGAAACGTATCGATGCTTTATTGTATATTGGTAGCCTTAATCATGAATGTAAGACATGATTCCAACATATCAATTTACGTAACTTCGAGGCAGTCTAATCACGTAGAGAATGACCTGTTTTTATGAGACAACGATGTCACTGGAATGTTGTTGTGTCTCTTTGCATGAATAACAAAGGAACCAGCACGTATTGTACTGATAGCTCTGACGTAATATCAGAGTTCGCATCCCACTGTCTCGGTGCTGCAAAATGGCTGTTCTGGGCTAGCAGTGCAAGCCATTGGTAGCCTTGCTGTCAAGAACAATGAGAATACTCGAGTGCAGTGTGATGGCATTAGCAGCAGCTATTTTACTGTATTCACATTTGCTTGCCATTCTTCATTTCTTTATCAACATGTAAACCAAGCTGTGAAGGATGAAAAATTTGTGCACATTCTTGAATATTGGTCGTTGTAAACTCTCCCAGGGTGTCAATTGCGATTGCGACCGCAAAGTAGCTACTATGTGTCTGTTAAGCAAATCACGCTCCTGTGTAGCTGTGAATTTTTCAAATGCTGTGGTTGTTGATGACGATGAATTATAGCTGGACACATTGTAATGGTTTTTCTTGCTATGACTTATATCACTGGTTGATAAAACACGGGGCTTTTGTTAAAAAGAACCTGGAATAGTTTTGGTGATGTACAAACACATTGGGCTGGTAGATTAGGTCTGAAGAGACCGATTTCAGCACTCTGCGTAAACTGTGTAATCTATTACTGCGCTTTAAAGGTGCCAATCGCTGGAAATTGGTGCAGATCGTTGCAACTCGGCTGAATGCCTTTTAAACTGCTCATTCATAGAGCAACGTGCTCTGCCCAGAACACGTCAGGAGCCACATCAACATGGCTGCTTATTTGATTGGCTGTCATGGTCTGTAGAATGTGCAGAAAAAAAGATCGACTGGTATGGTGGCAGCACCTCTCAGAGCAGATATTAACAACTTATTTCGTGGTCTTTGTTTCTGTTGCCAGACGGCGTGCTTGCTGCCAGGCGCACTGCGTGATGGCCTCCGAGACTGCACGCAACCTGTCGGTGTGCCATCTCAGAGGTCTAGACTGGTAAAAGCTCAAAACGGCTAGCGCACTTGTCTGCCTTGGTACACTGATGATGCTCAATTTATGGTGTGAATGGTTTCATGACGCTCTAACCTAAACGCTGACAAAACTTTTAAAAACCGCTTCAGAGTCTCTTTATTGGAATTTTGCCGAGTTGAATACGCGTTGAAGTACAAGAATAGGTAGGGCTACATAGAGGCAGGAATGCATAATGGAGATTAGGTGGGGGAGCGGCCTATGTCTAGAGTCGGTGGGGCAGACACTTGATACTTCATGATCTCGGAAAGGAGGATGAGGTGTAAATGAACAAAGAAGAGGGATCTGTATCTTTTGTAAGCGCTAAATGCACGTACGTGACACGAGTGAAGGACACAGGACAAGCGGATCGCTCGTCTTACGTACGTGTATTTAGCGTTTGCAAATGTTATAGATCAATACCAACTACCCTGAACCCAGTGCCTTTTCAGAGAAGGAGGAAGTGGATTATTCCAAAGAAGCATGTGGCTTGTGTAGGCTGCTGCAAATGACGGTTGTGTCATCTGTGCATAGGCGTACCAGCCGGGGAGGGAAAAGGGGGCGCGATCCCCCCACTGAGAAAAGTTAGGGAGGCTGAGCCCCCCCCCCCCCCTTTCGGCAGTTGTGACTGTTTGCTGCACGCCGGGGAAAGCAACAATTGAGGGGAAGTTTTCCTTCACCACAGTATTCACTGAATTATGTTATTACGAGAGAACATTACAATATAGTGAAATTTCTCCAACATTGCAGTTGTGACGATTTTCTTTGTACGCTCTTGCGGTGCGGGCCGCCTAAGCGGCGCTTTGGTGCCTTGTGCTGTAGCATTGCTGAGAAGGCCAGCACTGAACAGGAGCCCAATAACATTGCATAACTTGTCCACGCTTGCGTTCCGCAGCGACTGGCTGATGCAATTACGAATGCAAACGAGCAAACTCTTCATGGACTGGTGCAATCGTCTGCTGCTTCAGGAAAATTACTTTCTTTGATAGAAACTACATATCATCAACGCTACTTTGTCACAGCTGCTGCGAGCTGATTATTGTTACAAATCTTATTTAATGTTCAAGTGTTATCTGAAAGTGCCAAAAGGGGGTTTCCGCTTTAGTCTCCGACAAACCTGATCAGCCTTGCTTATGGTAACTTGTAGCGATGGTGGCAGCTTGCAAAGTCGCAACGAACAAAGCAGTGGACTCGAGCACAGTGGGAATCTCAGCTTTTAAGCTTGTCCTTTAACTTGAGCCACCGGACATATAAGGTGAAAGAGCATGGTTTTTAGCACTATAGAGGCTTACTTAAGAGTCGGGCAGTAGGTTTTATTCAACTCAAAGGGTCCTTTGCAGCTCAAAATACAACTTGGAGAGCAAAGAAGCACACACGTGCAGCGCTGCTTATTTCTCTCTCAGCAAAAATGAGCTCACAGTAATATGTGCGCGCACAAACTACTCAACGCCTTGATGCTGCAAGTGAAAATATTTTATTGCGCTCATGTTATTTCATCTCGGAAGCTCCTATAAGTAACCGTTGATAATGTGACTGGCGGCTACTTTACTTGAATATCATTTAAAAGAATATGCTTTCCGACTACCCC